GAGTAAAGCCCTTATCTGCCTTAACCCCGAGCTCTCAGTGATGCAGACTTCTTTGCTAACATTGTGGTGGATGCTGCCTTGGCTGTGAAGTTTGTGGATGGCAAGGGAGTTGCCAAATATCCCATCAACTCTGTCAATGTACTGAAAGCCCACGGCCGCAGCCAGAAGGAGAGCTTCTTGGTTAATGGATATGCCCTGAACTGCACAGTTGGCTCCCAAGGTATGTTAGTTACATTGCAAAACTGAAATTGAATTTCTTTGTAAGGATTCAGTTGCCTCATACATTACGATCGCAGCTGATCCAAACTCCCATTTAAATTTGCTGCTATGTCTCCCCTGATGGCGTAAGCAGTGATACGCGTGGGAGACAGTATACTGGCTTGGAAAGGAATTTAGACGCAGTAGTCTGTAAACTGTGGCACCTCTTTTCTAGCCAGACAAAATAAAAATGAAATGCATTTTAATATGTTTGTCAGTTTGTCCTCATGCTGTCGAGTTGTAATGAAAAGTCAGTATTTCTTTGGATATTTCCACTGTTGAACATACTGTTTTCTACTTTTCCAAAGGTATGGTAAAACGTGTTGTCAATGCCAAGGTTGCTTGTCTGGACTTCAGCCTGCAGAAGACCAAGATGAAGATGGGAGTCCAAGTCATCATCAACGACCCAGAGAAGCTCGACCTGATCAGACAAAGGTAGAAACTATGTTTTTTACAAATGCATAGAATTGCAAGAATTATCCCATTTAAATTTGCTGTGATACTAAACCAATAGTTTACACAGTGATACGCGTGGGAGAAAATATCAGCAGCCCAAGTCAAGGCAGCAGCTTCTCTCTGAGCTGTTGTACCACTACTATGGGCTGGACACTTTTGTATTATATTTATATTATATTATATATATTTATTTATATATTATTTGTGAAACTGAATCTTTCTTTGAATTTGTTGCTCCAGGGAATCTGATATCACAAAGGAGAGGATCCAAAAGATTTTGGCAGCAGGGGCCAACGTTATCCTGACCACTGGTGGGATTGATGATATGTGTCTTAAGTACTTTGTGGATGTAGGAGCCATGGCAGTGAGAAGGGTTCTGAAGAAGGACCTCAAACGCAT